TATTCTAAACTGGGCACTTTGTGACTAAATTTAAAGCTTCTTTTTTTCACCTCTTACATTTTTAATACATTCTATAACTTATAAAAACTCAGCTTTTTGGTTTCCATTGAATTTTAAAATGTTTTTGTATGAGATAGTGAGGAACATATTTAAAAAATTCAGATAAAATTTAAGTAAAGTGATGTAATTATTTAAAAATAACTTTGGATGGAGAACTAGGGAAGAGCTCGTATTACTAAGTAAACATGAAATGGGGGCTCATTTTGTTGCACAAAGAATTTAATTGGCATTATATAACACTCAAACATGAATCATCCAATTATATTGTGTTTTGTCTTGCATAAGTTTCATTAAAATATAATGACAACACTTTTATAAAATTAGAAAACTTTATTTCCATGTGTTGTCACATCTGAATGTCTCTCAGATTGTATGGGACCCAGATGTGTAAATTTTACACATTTTCAGCTTTCTGTTAATATCACATGAATCACTGATGATACAATACTATCTCCACATAAAAGTTCAGCACATATCTGTCTTTGGTCCATTAACAACAAAGTCCTCACAGCCAGGTGACATGCCTTTTGGCTGCTGCTGTGGCTGGTCATGCAGCTCATAGTTTGTGTTCTTTACTTTCTCTCCCTTTGAAAGGCATGCATCCATCTTGCCACTATGCAGTATAGCTGAATTTAATGTCTGCAGTCTTCTTGCAAGCCTTTGTTACACTGATGTGTATTGTGCCAAGTGGCTGCTCCCACCTCAAGAATTACCTCCTTCATTCTACTGAGGAATGCTAAGGGTAGAAAGTTCAAAGGCCATTCCTAACTCCAGACAAAAGAAGTAAGCCGCTTGTGTTGTAAAAGCTGTTCTCATATGATGGGCATTAGTCATTAACATGCTCATGTAACAGTTCAGAACAGGAAATATGAAGTAATCATGGTTGCACAATTATATTATTATGTCTGCAGTAAGAGTTCTAAGATATTTGAGTCATAAGTACTTTAACAGTTACATAGTAGTTTATATATATACAAGGAATACAAAAGCAACACACATTACTTGCATGAAATTATGTTAATATTTGCAGGAGAATTAACCAAAGCTTTGACATTGTTTAGATTCACACCCTTCATTCAATCAAGCCCTTTAATACATTCTCATTAATGTACATAGTAATGAGTTTTGCCAGGTATTACTGTATTTCTTACACCGGTTTTTTTTTCATACAACATTGGTTTGAAAGTAATAAAATTAAAGGAAGTGAGACCACTACTTGGGAAAATATAATTTCCTTTTCACTGGGTGCTTTCTCTGCATTCATTATCCCCTTTCTATTGGCAGTAAGACTGTAAAGCAGGACTGATAAGTGGTAGCATTTGTATTTAATAATTCTGTAATATATGTGCGTCTTCTGAGAATGGAATATTTGACAAAGGAAGGTACTTTATTTCTTTATTAAGATCCTGTTTCCATGTTTTAATTATAGCTTTTAAATTTATACATATAAACTAGGTATTTTTGTTTTGTGTACAACATTTACAATGCATACTGTATTTGTGTAAATGATTACTGAAAAAAATTAAAGAAAGCAGTCATACAGTTTTGAAAGGAATTATGATTAGTGTCATATTTTGTTTGTTTTGTGGATATTGGTTATTAAAGTTATATTAAGTAAGATTGTCGATGTTGGTCATCTGGTTTGTAACATTATATGGCTGAAGGGTAGTTCTGAAGATGGAGGCAGTATGTCCCTCCTAAACGTAGGTATCCACCTACAAGCCCATGTATCAGTGTAACCTAGAAGACCAGCATCGCCATCTTTTCCACCATGAGAACCTCAAATCTCATTAGTGACATCATAGAAGTAAATTTAATTTTGTATTACTGTTGCAGAATTTTATACTGATGTATAAGGCATGTTAAATGAAGGGAAGAAGGTAAGGGTACAATAAGGTATAATGCTCAAAAATCTGCTTGTTTAGCTTGTTGCATCAACTCTTTCTTACATTCAGTCATGTATCTGAAATTTTTCCTTTATAAAGTCACTTCCTTTGGCAGTAAAACTTTTAAATGAATGAAAATCATCTAGGCTGTATGAAATCCAGAGTATTCTGTGATCCAGTTGGATCACTACTAATAGAATTTCTTGAGTATTTTGTAGCTGACTGTAGGACCATCATGTAAAAATGTTTTTGTGCTTGTTACTGAAACAATAAGAATTATTAAGTTTCAAACTTTTAGCATGATTTGCTTGCAAATGTTAATGCAAGTCTGAGTTCCTAGGCCAGAACTTGCCATTATTCCATGAGTCTTTCAATCATTTAGTTGGCAGAGCTTCCTACTAGCTGGAAGCCATCTTTGATTTTGGTTTCCCATCATTTAGGACTCATTTACTCTTTTGTGGATGAAGTATTTTATGTATAATTTCCTGTCAGCCTCTATTGCTACGCACTGAATATTGCAAGGGGAAATTGAAATGTGACATAACATTACACATGTTAAATTCTATCAGCATTATTATGTCCAGTCATTATCATAAATGATGATAGTTTTTGAGACTGTGTGTTTATACGTGCTTGAATCTGTTATCTTAAAACTATTTGGAATAAATGCCTTTGCATTCTTCTCTTCAATTTACATTCCATACTGGTTTTATGGGCGTATAGCCCATTTTGTACATAATTATTTTAAATTGGGTCATTGAGAAATGCATTAGAAGCTTTCATATCAGAAATGGGTAATGTCTGTGTATAACTACTAAAATGTAGCACAAGGACATATTGTTTTCTTTTATTTATGGTTTATTGTATGTGTGTCTTTGGGTAATAATTTGTTCTATATTGATTGGTAATATATACATGGCAATAGAGGGAGGTAAGTTATAAATGGAATGTTGATAAAAAATAAAGGAGCTGTTTATCATGAGATCATTTGTCTGAAAAGGGAATGGAAAACTTGCTCATAAATTTTCAAAATATCTTGTACATAAATATTAGGCTTAGTTCACATTGGAGATTCCAGGAAGTAGGCTTGCTTGGTCTGTAGAGTAGTGTAAGAATTTACAACTGTGCCAGAAATATTTATTTTGTAAGTAGCAGACACATAATGTTCATTGATCACATAATGGTCTATTGGTAGTAATTTCACATAATGTACTTCACTGGGACACTGGAAAATGATGGATGTTTGCTGCTTCTGAATATGGATAGTATTTTCTATATTGTCTGATTAACTCATGGAAATATCTTCCAGTTGGGCAGATATTAACTGCAGAATGTATTTGAGTGCTATATGTGCAATTTTGTAAGTTGCTGTTATCTTGGAAGACAATAATTCAGCTCTGTTTTGTTTGATATATGCTATAAATATTATTATAGTTTACTGATTACTTTGATATTGATTGTTGCTTTCAAGTTCCATTTAGGATTAATTGGTTCTTAGGTTATTAAGTGGCAGTGTATGAACTGTAGAAGTTATTCAACATCAGTCCTAATTAATTAAGTTATCACATTGATTATTCAGCACAACTTCATTTAAAATATTTCAGTAATATGCATTTTGTAGTTCTGTTAGAATGCATTAATATGTAGAGCATAGAATACTTAATGAAAATTAAGAAATTGGAATAATCATGTCATAGGATCAAATTCTGTTTTGCCATTATTAAAGAAGGCACAAATCGCTACCATCCAGTATCCATTCTGACAGTACTTCAGCAGTTTTATGTCATAGGCCATTCAGTTTGATTGATAAATCTTGTCTTTTCCCATTTTTGTTATTCTCGACATGTAGTATTGGTATTTGCAGTCTTATAGCTGTAATCTTTGCCTGTCGTAAAATTATCACTATAATGCAGACCAAGTTAGCTAAAGAACCCTGGGTTAACAATATTAGCAGAAGTCTGGTATAAGTTAATCTGTTATATTTTGTGTGCTTATTAGTTCCAGCTAAGTATTACATTTCATACTTGTTAATAAATGTGAACAGGCCATTGTTTTTACAAGTAGAGATGGATTTAACTTTGTGTTTATTGAAATGATTGACCTTTATCGTCCTTGCATTGAATCTTATGCGCATTCCAGATCTACATGCATTGCACCATCATTCTGCATACCATAGACCATGGAGTTAAAAGTTTGGTTTGGGTTTAAGTAATCTTTTCCTGTACGATAAAGGTTGACTAAACTTTTTTTAATGTAGTTTTATACATTTACTTTATATTATTAATATGACATTACATATCAGGATATTTCTAATGTTTTTATCTGATTTTTCTTTGATAGTTGTCCATATCAATACATATTTTAATAATATTGTAATGCGCATCTTATAAGAATTCACTATTCATTAGCATTTAATTTAATATCCATAATACAATAACATTATTACGTATCATGTTGTGTACAAAGTTATGTCACATCACTAATGACTTGGGAGAAATAAAATCACTGTTTGTAAAATAAAATTAGAATGTTTTAGACTTCTTGATTGTTTTTAAAAGAAATGTGAAATGAAGTATTTTTCGTGATATTTTCACTGTATCATTTGATTTTACATTTTAATTCCAATAAGTCAAAATCATTATTGTTATACTGTACATAAATGTAATATATGTATACATATACTTTAACACTGAATAAAGTAAGCAATATGTGACTTATATAAATAATTATTTGTTTTTTAAAATATGATTAAATTTTGCTAAGTCTTCTGTTAATTGCTTTACTGTTTAGACCCATGTGTAATAAGTAGGAACTGGAAAAACCAATAAATGGAATGAATTACAAGTGCCACTGAAAAGATCTAATAACATTTTCAGAACCCACTACTTAACCTAAGTGAGGGAATTTTTTGACTGCATGTTTGTATGTAACAAGGAATCTGGTAAGTAACTGATGTACTTCTTTAAAGGACTCGTACCATACTGTATCCTATATTTCTTCAGATATTTTTATGTTGATTGTAACAGTTTAAGTGTCAGGTTATTTATAATGAGACATTTTTGCAGTGTTGAAAAATAGTTAAGGAATGCATAATCCACTAGTAATTATAAAGTTTTGTAATAACTGAAAAATAATGTTCAACCTTTGAAGTAGCTATTATTGTTTTAGTTCATTTAGTGATGATTACAAATAGTAAGACAACTGGGATAATGGGAACGACCTGTTCTTCAAGTGCCTGAGCACTGCGGGTCCCAACTTTTCGTTGGCTTGATCTATAGACATTCGGTAGGACTCCTTGGACGAGGGATTGGCCAGTTGCAAGGCCTCTACCTGTACACAGGACAGCACAACACAGAAAATGCGGACAAATATCCATGGCTTGAGTGGGATTCAAACCCATTGTCCCAGTAACCAAGTGGCACAAGGCCCATGCTTCAGACCGCGCGGCCACTGCAGACTCCCAATAGTAAGACAAAGGGATGATTAATGGTCATGACTCAGTTTACATGTTATTCTTTATTTTTTGTGGTACCCAAGGCTACTGCTAGAAAAGTAGAACAAGTAGAACAGTTGTAAACAAGAGAATCATAGCTAGCTTTATATTCTAATTTCTTTTTAAACTTCAGATTAATTTTTAACGACAACAAATTAAGATAGTAGATACAAATAGACTAATTACAAATAGCAGGAACCAGAAATACAGCAAATAGTGCCATTTTACAAAAGAAAAAATTGTTAAAAGAGTTTATATACACACCTATGGCACAAATGTGTTCTTGTGAACAAAGTAATGAACCTTTGGTTTCCATAAAAGGAATTTCATCACTAGCTGAGCATACTGTTTGCTTCTTAAGGATTCTATTCCATTTACTTAGTTACTTCTAATTGTACACTTAGAAACTGAAATTAATAGGTGTGGAGCACTGAATATGACAAATTAAGTGCTGATACATGTAGACAGGTAATATAAAATACACAACAGGAGTGCTCCAAGATAAGTTTCAATGCAGAGAAGCCCCATATATTAGTTGTTGAGTAAAGTTTCACCGAAATGTAGCAAGTGTAGTAGAAAACAACAAAATATTTGGCTGTTTAATGTGATCGATACTATAATTTAAAATGCCAGGGAGAGGAGAAGGTTAATTAACATAGTGACATGGAATATCAGCTAACCTTCTTACCTATCGAGACACTGATGCCTGATGTGGAAGGTGTAGATACTTTGGAATATAGATGGCAATTATGTCTCCTCTCTACAAATAACATCGAAAAAAGGGTTGAACACATGAAATATTCTGTGATGGAAATGTATAAATTATTGCAACAAGAGTTTTGCAGTAGTTCAACACTGGAGTGGTTAAAATAATGAAACACATTCACATTTTCTAAACGCGGCATGGCGCTTGAAGCGCGTTTGATAGTCTGCAAAGTTTGTATTTGCTGGTTTTGCAAATCTCGTATTAAACATTTTATTGAAATATATTAAATTTATTTTACTTGTTTTAGGAGTTTTCCAGTGTTGATGAAAATCTTTTGCAACCACGAATGTTGCTGTAATCAAATGTAAGCAAGCTTTAAGTGTAGTGTATAAGGAGGACGGCGTTTTGAATTGCCACACAAGGGACGTTCGGGTCACCTTTTCATTTTTGATGTCAAGGTTGTGGGGTTCGATCCAAGAATGTAACAGTTTGGGCGCAGCAAAATTTAGTCGCATGTGTGCTCAGTTCAGGAAATGCAAGGATTGAATGCCCAGTAGGTGTGTCATCTGACGTTTCTGGTTTTGGAGTTTATCACTAACTTTCATTTTTATATTATGTAAATATTTATTACAGGTATATGACAAGAAAATATGAAAACAAATACAACAAGGAAAATGTACAGGTGGAGGAAGTATAATATATGGGCATATGGAGAGTAGATGTTTATTTAATGAAGTGATGTATAAAAGATTCTGTTAGGTTATTGGGATAGGGGCTCCGTATGTTCTTGTGCTCATAATTTGTTTTTCTGTATGTTGATGTATGTTGTAATCTCCTTTCTATTTATACTGGTGGAATGTTACCTTGAGTATGTTTTCCTTACCATGATTAGTAACAGCGTGAGTGTGTTGTATTTTTCAAAGTCTTAAAAGAGTGTGATTTTTAAAGCTGTTATTTCTTTGATAGTCAGTGTTGATTTGATAAATTATTGCATTTTTCCTTCTTTTTTTTTAAATTGGTTAGATTTGCATAGCAACCGTCTTGCACCTGCTTTGATGGTAAGGCAGACTGCTCCCAATATTCAACATTTGGAGTACTAATATGCTGATAGAATAAATATGTTAATATAAATAAATCAGTTTTGGAAGTTCTAAATATTTTTTAATGCTGAAGCTTAAAATTGGGACATTTTAAATTGTATATGTAAAGAATCAAGTATCTACGTACATCTTTTCAGACCTAAAGCATCTTGGAAAAAATTGACATTGTGGTTTCAAGTTTGGTTTGATAATGGCAAGTTTTGCGGCCCAAGCGGCTATTAGATCAAAATGGACAGACTTGGTTGAATCTTCTCCATTCGACGTTCCTGGTGAGGTGTCATCAGGAGTGAGAAGTGTGGTGGGATGGCTGAAACAGGTTAAATTCTTAGATCCTTACTGCACTGTTCCTTTTCATTTTTGCTAATGTTTGACTTTCATGTTCACTCTTAAGTGTTTTACTTCACTATCTCTGCATGAACTCTGTTCCGTATATCCAACATTTAAATACCAATTTGTATGTTGAGCACTATAAAGGTTTATTGTTGCCATCTTGTCAAGCGAAGGTACTACTAGTACAGACGTGTACCTCTTACTGTACATTTCATGTTACTTAAAAAGTAGCATGTTTTTGTTTAAAAGGGTCTGGCTGTTAAACAAGCAAATCATGACAGTAGAAGCAAGTTAAGGAATATATGCGAAAAATAAAACCATTCTGCAGGAACTCATACATGAAGCTGATAAGGGGTTAAAACTAAATGCACCTATGGCACATGTTTTGCTTCAGAATCTCTGTTAGTAGTTGGTTTTTTATGCCTGCTGTTTTTAAATATTCTAAATGCTTGAGCATATTTGTGTGATGCAGGCATCATTAGAAGTTCGTCAGGCAGGCCGTCGTACTTTGAACACATTATCTGGTGGTGCTATGGGAGGCTGTTCACTGACCATCCTTCATTACAATGATGTATATAATATTGAGTCCAGAGTCACAGAGCCTGTCGGAGGAGCTGCACGTTTCTGTACTGCAGTAAAGTCTTTCTTACATCTTAACCCTCTGGTTCTCTTCAGTGGAGACATCTTTTCACCGAGCATGTGTGAGTATTATGAAGGAAAAGGTACTTATAAGAGAGGATTATTGTTACAAAGCAAACACACATTGAAATATGGATATTGCATTTTCTTTACTGTGTGTTGACTTGTATGATTAAATATGTTCTGTTGTTTTGTCATGTCTTTAATGATTAGTACTCTGGTGATTGTTTGAAAAAATGGAGTTAAACCACTAATCTCTCTTTTCTAAACATGGTTCTGACTGAATAATTCACGGTTATATGAATGTGAATGTTGTAAGGAGTTTAATTTTTATGGGGTGAGAGGGAAACCTGTTCAGTGTTATGAATTATTTAGTCTGTATTGAATAAGTGACTATTTTATGATTCATATTGGTTTTGAACTGTGTTCTACACACCACAGCATTTGTTTCTTGTTAAATTACCAAACATCATTAATGCAGAATGAAAGAATTAACTTGTGCAGTAGGAGGATGGAAGTAAAGTAATTCTCAGTAAAAACTGCAGGATTTTGCTTGGGTTTTAGCATACAAACCAGGACTTGGTTGTCTCTGTAAATATTGATTCTTTTTTTCATATAATTCCAATAGGTTAGATTTTGTTATGAATTTTTTGTGTTTATGCCTTCATTCCACTGTTTATCATGGGTTCTGATATTACATTTAAGCTAACTTCAAACATCATGCTGAGTATAATGAATTATTCTTGGGCACCAGTCATGTCAGGTGGTTGAATGGAGGAAACACCAGCATTTCAAGAACCATCTTTATCCTCATTCTCAGGGTATTGAAGTTGTAGGAGATCCTGTCCATCCTCCTTATGTACCTGCCCCAGCCCTGTATTATTGGCTGCACATTAGTTTCTGATCACACATCATGCTGAGTGGATTTTTGATGATGTGATGTTTTTTTAAATTTGGCAGAACATGTATGTTGAAAAATCTTATTGGAGTCACATCAGTCATGTATTGGTGATGTGTGGTGGAAGTATGTATATATAATGAGTACTGTTATCTAATACGTAAGCTGCTGAATTACAGAAAGAAAAAAACTATTAGTAGTTGAACAGCATTGCCAAGTAAACCTTTGAGGGGCCAATCCATCTAGTCAGCTACCAATTCTGATTCAGTCAATATGATACATGTAACAGATGTTGAATTCACTATTCCTTGTATGCATTGTTTTCATGTATTTTAAATGTCTTATTCTTATTTCAGAATATTATAATTTTTTTGTTGCAGTGAGCTCCTTCACAAAGGGTGAACAAATGGTTCCAGTACTTAATGAATGTGGTACTCATTGTGCTGTTTTTGGAAATCATGATTTTGGTAAGATGGCCAACCCCTTATTTATGAGGTCATTGGTGTGTATGGTGTTTGTATATTTCTACAACATATTTCTTTTCAGCCCTTTTTTCAGTGTAAATGCTTGGTCATACCAAAATCTAATAAACATATTACTAATTTTGAAATATGGGGAATGTAGAGTCAGAAAGATGAGAGATTGTGAATTAAAACTGAGCGATTCTGAATGTATCAGATGATGTTAATAATTGGGCAGCAATAAACATGTTACATAAGAAACAACAGGTTTTATTAGTTTGTCTATATGAAAATAACATCAGAGGTATGTACAAAAAGTGTTGTATAAAAATGTTGCATAATGACTTAATTGTTATTTGCATAAGGTAATCTTTGTTACACTCCACATACAGAATTCTCGCTTGCACTGATTGGCTTTTGAACTATTTGTAACATGATGAGTTAGTGTAGTGTGAAGTAAGCCCTTGACTTTCAGCATGCTGATAAATGTGTGTGGTGTTGTTTGTTGGTGGTGTTGGCATACTACTAATTCATATGTCAGAGATTTGAAATGCTGATTTTCAGTAATATCTACAAAATCTTGTAGGAAGAGAGGAGCAGTTACAAGAAGAAAAATTCACAGGGAATTTACATGAACTGCCATTTTTATAGGGCAAGCTCTCATTGATAAATAATCTTAATTTTTGTAGAAAAATATGTGTTTATAATAATGCAAATAGTTATTTTCTTTGGTTAATAGTATAAATGTGTATTCTGTTATAGATTTTGGTTTGGAAGTATTGAGAGATTTGGTTTCTCAGACAAATTTTCCATGGCTCATGTCAAATGTAATTGATCAGGAGACAGGGCGTCCATTAGGAGATGGGAGAATAACACATGTAATTGACTGGAATGGCAAGAGAATTGGCCTTGTAAGTATTTCTTACTAATTAGGATTTGAGGTTTTCACAGCAGTGAGTCTGAAGATGGCAGTTTGTTTACACAGCACAACCCAGAAGAGAGCTATCTTCAATTTATACAAAGTTTAATATTTTGTATTTGCAGTTCAATAAATGTCTGTGTTAGGTGTGAGTAGGCTAAGGAAGTTTATATGTAAGTACAGAAGAAAAAACTGGAAGGAACTGGTTACATCAGTGTTCTTTTAAAGTTTGAGATCCATTTCTGATATGTACATAAACTGATATTGTGTATGGTAAAACAGTATAAGGAATAATTGATTTATTTGTGTGTTACACTTAAAATTATTCATTGTCTGGAATTTTTCCATCTTCCTTGTTTAAAAGGAGAAACCATGACATTTCAGAAACTGGCTCTATTTCCGTCTTCAGGTGAGAGGTACCTACTCAGTTGGGTCCTTCAGTCCAGTGATGGAGACTAGCTCTATCTGACGGACTGAACTGAGTAGGTACCTCTCGCCTGAAGATGGAAACAGAGTCAGTTTCTGAAACATTTTGATTTCTTCTTTTAAACAGGGGCGATGGAAAAAGTCCAGACAATGAATAATTTTAAGTGTAATCCACCATTGTCAGAATCCTTTAGAATTGAATTATTTGTGGGTTATTTAACAATTCTTTTTCAGTTACATGTGGTACATGGTGTCAAGTGATGGGATTGCTGCAGTTGATGAATTATAAAGAATGTGGAAGGAAGTAGCCATGGCCTGTTTTAGGATACTATACAAGCATTTAACTGGAGGGACTGAGGATAACTATGAAAGCCTCTGTTAACAATAGTTGGTCTCCAGACAGGGATTCAAACTTTGACCTTCCAAAGTGCAAAGCAGGAGGGCTATCCACTCAACTGTTGTGTTCAGTATGAAGAATAATTGTGTTCATACATTGATGTTGGTCGTCTGGTTATAAAACTGTATGGACTTGTAATTACATGCAACCGTTTCAGAAGAACATGCTGCCCTCACCTGAAATGTTGGTATCTGCTTACAGGTCTGCATGGCATTACAATCTAGAAGACTGACACTGATTTCTTCACTGCCATAAGAACTTCATGTTACATGTGTTCTATATGTTTTAGTATAATGTGTCTAGGTACTTTTATGGAATACACAATGCACTTTTATTACAGGTTGGGTTGGTTGAACAGGAATGGCTGGACACACTAGCCAATATTAATCCTGAAGAGGTAACTTTCCTTGACTTTGTTGAAGCTGGAAGAAAGCTGGGGGCTCAGCTCAAACAGGAGGTGTGTTTCTCATAGGGTTTAAGAGGCATGGATTTTTCTATAAACACAAATGACCAGAAAATATTGATGTGTTTCAGAATTCACTAAATTTGAAACAAGAATTTCTTCATGATCACAGGAATGCATGCAGAACTTCTGATGAAGAGAATTCTTGCAAAGTATTGGTTTAGGATCATGCTCATTGGTAGGATTTATAATTAGTGCTATTTAACATTCAGTTTTTATCATCAGAGAAATACTAAAAATGACTAAGAAAATTATTAATATCTAATATTAATTTCTATCAATAACAAAATGCATACACAGGAGCTTTAAAATTTGTACTTTCCATCGGGTCAAGTAAAGTTTATATGGACAGGACATAATGACACATGAGGGAAATGAGAAATGCACATAAAAGTTTTCTCAATACACTGGATTCTGCTGATCAGTATCCATTTTTTTCTTCAGAATTGTTGATTATAGTATTAAACATATGTGTGGATCTGTGCTCTTACCCAACTTCAGAGCCAAGTGGTTACCACTCTTGCTTCATGTTTGGGAGTCTTGAGTTCAAATCTTGGTCTGGAAACTGGCTATCCTGCCAGAGGTTTTTATGGTTTTCCCTCAGTCTTTCCAGACAAATGCCAAAATATTACTTTAAATTAGGCCACAACTGCTTTCTTCTGTATCCTTCCCAGTTCCATATTTGTCACCCTGTGATGTGACACTAGTTAGTGCTACTGGTAGTGTTGTTAAATAAATTACAAATACCTTCCATTATATATATGAGAAGATCTGGTAGTTATATGCTTCATTTTGAAATTGTTCTCATTTAATTGAATATTTTGTTGTCTTGGCAGGGTTGTGATTATGTGATAGCATTAACACATATGAGAAATCCAAATGATGTGAAGCTGGCAGAAAATGTGGATGAGATAGATCTGATTCTGGGTGGACATGATCATGTATATGAAGTTAAGCAAGTAAGTAAATGTAGGATAGTTTTTAAAGAATGCTGTTCAAAAGCATTAAGGGTTATGCCAGTGACTAAAATTGAATAATAATTTAGTGTCTTAACTCTTGAAAAACTATTCTTAATCTCTGTACCTTGCATTGAACATAAATGAGTGGCTGTGTGATCAAAGCAGTATTTACGCTCAAAACATCGGAGCAAACAAAATGGTCAATTATATAGTGTTCAGTTCTTTTGTGTTTATTAATATATTCGTTTGTTTTTATACAGGACACTGTCACCAATTTAATTATTAGTTACAGCACATGCACATATATAGCTCTTACATAATGCATATTTATATTATTCGCAGATTAATGGAAAGTATATAATTAAAAGTGGAACAGATTTTCGTCGTTTCTCCAAGATCGCTTTAAATTTTGATAAGGCATTAGTTGATGTAAGTGTGGAAGAGATAACAGTGACATCTGCATTCCCAGAAGATCCAACACTCAAGCAATTACTGGATAAGTATGCAAGTAAGACAGAAATATGTGATCAGTAATTGTACATTGATATTAGAATATGTAAAACATTTCACTCATACAAGTAGGAACTGGATAAATAGGAAATGGTGAGGCTGCAACAAAGTTTTGAAAATTAATTGCAGGACGCAATCCAACAACAGTCACACAACTGTGGGACAATAATGAAATCAGAAGCCCCTATGTAATTTACTCATAATGTTCCCTATGATACTTTAGTTAAGTTCATACCTATTGCTTGTGCCATTTGTACACAAGCTATACAATTGCAAACGTGTATTCATGGGCAGAATGTGTGTTTATTCTTGAACATTTCTTTTTATCAAAATAATTTGCTGCTGTTCATGATGCATTTGGCAGTGCATGTCATGACAGCGAAGTACTGAATAAGACAACGCTACACCAACTGGTAACAAAATTTCTGCACACAAGAACTGTTTGTCTGTGATAAGTGGTCATTGAGTGATAAAACAACTGAAGTTATGGCTGTACTTATTTCAAGTGATATGTCAGCTCCAACAACAGGATATGGTTCATAGAATCTTGTCTTGGTTTCATCATCTTTTATATGAATGGGCTCATGTGTAGTAGTTCGAATTGTGTTTCAAATGGAACGTTCTGACATTTCTTAACCCTTTAGTATTTTGCAATGATATATCTCACAAACTTTGCGTTTTGTCGTTTGGATGAACTATCTTGTGAAATATTAGTACATGTGGCATTTCTCTTGGACTATGTCTACAAATTCTAAAGTGTCACATAGCAAAGTCATCATAAAAGAATAGGGAATTTGTGCTTGCTCTGTTGCTTGCTTTGTTTTTGTGTCAACTGAAAAATAGTGCATGAAATGTAAACTGTCAGAATTTTTTTTATGCTTTTGGCAGTCACTTGAGAAACACAAAATACGTTTTTGACAAACAGCCAAAGTGTTAATGAATGTTATTTGATATGTGTATACCAGAAAATAAGGGCTTCTTTCTCTGTTCTGTGTCCTAGAAGTAGAGACATGTTTTTTTTTGCAAATATGATGTTGAGAAGTTGTTTATTGTCACTTCTACTTCAAAAACTTCCATGAGCATGAAAAAAAACTGGAGTTCTTGAATCATATGTTTGTGTTTGACATTATAATTATATTTAATCATGCACACATACTCTTAAATAACCAAGAAGAATTTTCCTTGACAATATATTAGATTGCAGGGCTTTAATAGTTACAGCATTGTCTGCAACCGTATACACACATACACACATTTTGATAATATTAACAGCAACTCTAACAGAAGACCATAATGTAGGTGTAGAGGGGAAGATAAATGTTGAAGTAATTTGTTACTGTATTTACAGTTGAAAACATTTTTCCCAGGTGTGATGGAAGGAAAGATGGATGAAGTCTTAGGCTCATTTTCAGTGCCTCTTGATGGACGATTTGAAAGTGTTCGTACTGGAGAAACAAACTTGGGTAATTGGGTGTGTGATGTCATCTTGGCAGCTACTGGAGCAGACCTAGTTTTGTTAAATTCTGGGACTCTGCGTTCTGATCAGATACATCCTGCTGGAAACTTCTCAATGAGGGATCTAGTCACCATAATTCCCATGATGGATCCACTTATTGTGATCTCTGTTACAGGTAGTGCCTCTAGTCCACACTAAATTATTCAAGAGAGCATACTGAAGCCATATGCAGGATATTATCTTATTGATAGTAGTTATCAGAATTTATATATCCATGCTAGTTGTTGAAACTTGGCATAGTTGGTAGTAGTAAAGGTGTATTATTTTTCTGAACCAGGGATGGTCCTCAATCCAGATAAATGGGAGTTGATTTATGTTACACTGATTAATATTTAAATGGTAATAATTGTAATTATTTTGCTTTTCTCATAGGGCAGGACATCTTGGATGCACTGGAAAATGGTGTAAGCATGTATCCAAAGTTGGAGGGCCGGTTCCCCCAAGTTGCTGGTATTAGTTTTGCATTTGATCCACAACAGCCACCAGGGAAGAGAGTTGATCCTCAGTTTGTTAGGATAGGCGATGAGTACCTCGTACCTGATCAGAGGTATCGCCTAGCTACCAAAACTTACCTGTACTCAGGCTGTGATGGTTACTCAGTGCTTAAAAATGCAAAAGTGTTGGTAAGTTCATGATCATCTTGCTTTCTTTTTGCTTTTATAGTTGGAATTTCATGCAGGGCTCTTTATACTTGTTTTATACAGTTGGTATCATATTAAATGCTGGTTACTTTCCATTTAAAATTGACTAATGTATATAGTATTCAGTTATCTGAGATAATACATTAGTAAAACCAGAATTTATTTTTATATATTTGCAGGTTGATCAAGAAGTGTGCCCTGAAGTTGGTTTAGCAATTCAGAACCATTTTCAGGCTATAGATATGTGGTTAGGGAAGACAAAACATCATTCTAAACACCGCCAAAGCCTAGTCACGCTTTCACGCAGGTATCTTTTTTTTATTCTTGTTTACAAATTATGATTCCTTTTTCACAAGGAAGAAGTGCTGAACTTTAATACTTTAATTTATGCTTGCCTGAATTTAGGTTTTAGTCGAGTCATCAGAAGTATTTGTAATTCTGTTTTTTATCATCAGAAGAACAGTATATAATGTTCTTTTGGATAAAAGGAGTGTTCAGTAACATCCAAAGATGTTTTACATACATATTTATTACTTTGACAGAGATGTTACAATAAGTAATAACAAACCATGTATTTGTCCACACAGTTACCAGAGTCTTTGAGGTATTTGCCCAACAATATGATATCTGTTCCATTCCCAGTGACAGGAAATCAGATATCAGTGTTTGCACCAACTAGCATGCCTCATCTTTCACCTTAACATCACGTTGGAAATGTTTTCCTTTGAGATGCTTTATCAATGGTTTGAAGAGGTCAAGGCTGTACGGTAGATGGGCAAGACATTCCCATTGAAACTGGACCAGCAGTTGCATTGTGACACTGGCTGTGTGGGCATGGTGGTTTTAGTTGTGCAGTAGTGGTCTTCATTCATAGTTATAGTTACATCTAGCGGAGATCATGAGAAGAACAAGATTTTTATGTGTTTTAAGTGTGTAGATTTAAAATATTTCTAGCGATTTGAGATACATCAAACACAACTTTTTTCATTTTCAGACATAGTCTTGTTAAAATGTTGGATGGTGCAGGAGGTGAATTGGATGGTCCACCACCTATCCGAAGAGCTAGCACAGTTGATGTCAGTACAGGAGATAATAGACACTCGCCCAGTCCATCTCCTCCTCATCCTCACGCTCATCCAAATCCACATCCACATCCACCTCCACATACTCACGCTCAGTCACGCAGCAGACTTACTCGAAGAGCTAGCTTAGACGACTTAGAACAGGAATCTTGTAAGCTCTCTCCTAAGATTGAGGGAAGAATAGTCATTCTTACAGATGAGGTAAGATTGTGATGGAGTATGAGGATTTTAGTTTAGAAATACAACAGGAGCAGTGTTTTTAGTTAATCTCATAAAAAAGTGTGGTATAAGTTTATTCAAGGTGGCCATGAACAGGATGTAGGTGATATTTTATTTGGTAACTAAAGTATAAAACAGGAATGTTCCATATCCTACTCATCCATAATTGAATATTTCTAAAATTCCATTAATGAATATGCATATTTGTAATTCAAGTGTTATGTTCACGACTGGAAGTTGCAAAAATGTGCCTTTTAACTTAATCATATCTGTCTGTCTGTCTGCCTGTCTGCATGTAACAACTTTTGTTGCCATTAGTGAAGAAGAAGGTGAAAGGTTCTGCCAAGATATACAGTAATTGACCATGCTGTCAAGGAAGGTGGGTCCAGCTGTGATGTATGAATATAGTTGGTTTTTGCTAAGGAAGGATGAAGCTGTTCATAAGAGGAAAAAAATTACTTTATGTGAATTGAGTTTTTAACTAAAGTAGCATGTTTCATCTCAGTGTCATATAATTTTTGTCACTCATATTATGAGAATTTGTTTCATTACTGAATAAATACTTACTCTCTGTTGAATAAGGTCATTATTTCACATTATGTGGTAAGGGGTATATTTATATACGACAACATAAAGACCATGCATGTAACAACTTTTTAGATGCCATTTTTTGTGATTAGTGTACCCAGTTTAGTCTAAAACAACTTATTTTATGTGTGTTACTGAAAAAATGTGAACTTTGTTTTGTTGTGTAATTTCCCCTCTTTTCACCCAGTATACAGATACAAGCTATACCCTAGTGGTTACTGATTGTACTGACATTTTTGTGACATTGACTTGAGATGTACAGAAACAACATTTATATATTTTTCTTATGTTCCTTGTGAGTGCCAACACTCTACAGTACTGTACTGTGCCCTCATGACCAAACCTTGGCAATACTTGGTTGCTTTTTGTTGTCCTTTTCAGAGAAAATTTAGTTTGGTTGCCTTAAACCTTGAATTGCATAGGTCAAAATGGAAGTTCTGGTGTCATATTTTCATTTTAGATTTATTTTCCAAGTACACTCTTTAAATGTTCTTGTTTATATCATTCTGTGTAAGAAGGAGGTTGATTACTTGGTTTCACAGAAGTGAGCTGGCACTGGAATGTGATATAGAGATAGATTTAGAAACAAGTGAATAAGTATAAGTAGGCTATTATAAAAGCAAATTATTGTGGCACAAGTAAACAAGATAATTAGCTTGTGAGAAACTGTGGTGACAGGTTGTTCATAATACCGGTAATAATTTTGTATTTGTTGTAGAAACGCCATGAACTTATGATGGAAAGGCAGAGGCTTGAGGAAGACTCTGTGATTCCAGAAGTCGAGGATGAATGTTCACCACAAGGGAGCATTGACAGAGCAGAGATAAGCTAAGTCTTGCACTAAGCAATAAATTTTACTCTTATGCTCTCAAGTGTAGCTCAGTTATAACAGATTTCACTTTGGTTATACTGCCAAGCTGTTGAATGGTACAAGTTGAGTTTGTATATTGTATTCTTCCTTTTTAGTATTATAATGTAAGAGGAGAATATATTTAACTGCAAATTACTCTGAGTATTATTATTCCAAATATGGATTTTTAAGCCATGACAGACTATGTGCTGAGTGCACAGGAGAAGTTTGTAGTGTTTTCATCTTACATAGAATAGGAACCATACTGAAGAATCATGATTTAAATATGGACATTGATATAATTACAAATTTAAAATGATTCTTCCATCTACTGTGTAAACAGTTTATAGTGCATAGAAGTACCAGCTTTCTTTGGTCAGTCAAAATGTACGAAGTGCTTCCCAGTATGTTATTATTACATGTTGAAGAATGTAGTTTCTTATTAGTCTGTTTATGTATTTTATGATGATTATTTCTCATAGAGAAATGACATTCACCACCCTTATAAATGCTGTGATATTTCTTTTCTTTTCCTTGTATTTTCTTCTTGTTTGTAACTGATTTTGTTATAAAAGGGCTATGCAAAAACCATTCATCTTCAAATATAAAAGAAATATTCAAGGATTTATGGCATTAATACATTTTGAAATTGACCAACTTGCATAATTAAATTTAAATGGAAGAAAGTCTTTGTATCAGTCCCATTGATTCGTCTATATGTTTTCTTCAAATGTGGCACATCAGTATGAAGACATTTGAGGCAACTTTGTTAATATAGAACTCATTCATTAATCTAGTAGCTGCACATATGTGAAGACCAAATTAGTTGCATAACTCCAGTATATGTAATACTGTCATTTAGGAGAAGGAATCGGTCAGAAAAAAATCTGCGTTAAAAAGAAAATATTAAGACAGTTGGTACTTCCAGCTATTTAGGATGTATTATATCTGTAAATTGGAACGGTGTGAATGGGAAAACACTCGGTTACATCATATCCTTACTTTATACTCAAATCATCGCTGGCCTCAAGTTATATATCAATCCAAATTACATTACATGCTTGTTAAACCACCAGTAATATGTTGTCCTGGAGGAAGATGACTTCTGAAAAGATGAAATCATTTTTGTGTTACCTATAAATCTAAGTGGACGTATTACTAAAAAGAATGATGAAGACAATTTGGGCCCATGTAACATGTTTATACATGATTTACTTTGGCTCTGGGTTACTTCATTTAGAGAATACATCACTTAATTTTATATGAGCACATTAATACCAACCATTGTCATGAAGAATATATAACTGTTACAAAAACCTTGGATTGTCAAGATATTTTACTAATTTCAAACATTTCATCAAAACAAGTGGAAAGTTAAGCCCAATGGTTCTTGTAGAAAGTAGGGCTTCATGTATGACTGAAAAATTTGTTGGAAAATATGGTGTATAGTTTTTCACACATAAACATTCTTAGTTTTTCTTGTTATCTGATTGAATTTTTAGTCATATTTTTACTTCTAATGTAGATTAAAGGAGGGATACTTGTGAGTACATCACATTTACCTGCAAGGAAAATGTTTTTAGTAATTTCAGTGTTTAATAGCAGAGTTTATACAAAAATTGTATAATAAATAAAATGTGTTGTTCTGTAAATCATTGCTTTTATAACAGTTTGATGGATATTGTGAGGTTAAAATAGAACTAAATATGCCTTGTGAAATTTTGTGGCTATTTCCTTTCATCTCTAAATTTTAAATTTTATGTTTATATATCTGTTCAGCTCATGAATACTTGATGCTTATATACATTCTCTTATGAGTAAAGGCCTTTATTGTTCTTTTTTTTACAGTTGTAGTGAACACAGTACAATTTAGGCAGTTCATACAAGTTTTGTAGCCTCTTAACCCTCTTAGTGCCATGAGCTGATTGGCCTGCCCATGTGGATTGCCAAACTTGAAGTCAACCATGTCTGTCTGTATTTCCTTATGGTCAATAGATGGCATGGAATACCATATGTAAACATAACAGGTGACTGGCCATGCTTTTGGAAGGTAGATATTATTTTTTGTAATGTTGACTGAGAAGACAAGAATAACATTCATGAAACAACTGGTGTTTGTGGGTGTAAGCATAGTGAGTTGTGCTAGAGACATTTTTGTTGTGGGAAGCTCCATTTCTTTTAGCAGTTATTTTATGAAGTGTGGTTCTCTTGAAAGGTGTGTTCATACACACATTTATCAAAGAAAGATATCAGCTTAAAAATAGCATTTGTTATGAATTTATTTCTATCATTCTGCACTTTACTTGCTTTTCTAACTTAGGGGGTAGTTCCAGGTAATGACTTAGCACTAAGAGGGTTAAAACTAATCTTAATAGTTGCCATCATTTGGCATATTCTTAAAAATATTGTTTCTTGTTTATAAAGTACTGTGAAGAATTATTGTCACCTTTCATCTTTTAAAGCAATATCCATTAAATAACTAGTCAAAAGCTTTATGCAAGCTTGACATGTTCACATTTTTTATAACAGCACATTTTGAAGCCATTATTGTCTACAGATTAAACTACATAGATGATCTGAAAGAATAATCTAGTGTATACAGTGTAATGTTTAGAGCTTATTTGTATGTATTGCACTTGCCAAGATATTACAGTTTTCATTTTGGGTGAAAGATTCAATTATGTAAAATGCCTGCACAAATCTTGGGCACCCTGAAAATTTTGTGATAGCATCTAGAATTTTCTGCATGTTATTCTGATAGATTTATATTTTTACATATTATTACATAGAATTTTCAAATTCACACCATATAGTAACATTTAAAATGTGTTTTTGATCTTATGTGTGTAAATAGGTATTTAATTTCATAGCAGCATGCTAAGAATAGTATTTCCATTTTCTGATTGTGTGTATTTTTTTCTGTTTTTTTCCTGAATTTGTACAAAATTTGTGCAGGCCTGGTGTACCATGTTATGAAACATGGGTATTCATTGTTCTGTTAGGATGACCAGATATCTCATATATGGTTAACAGTGTGAACAGTATTGACTTCTTCAGTTTGGGTTTTAATCTCATTTGTAGTTTCAAAAGAGGGAGTAACTAAAATAAGAATTACTTTATGAAACAGAATGTTTTTTAAACATAAGGGTTCAAGTGAAATTTGGGTATTTTTTTGGTGTTGTAGTTAATATTTCCTGTAAATTCTGTTACAGAAGGTTTTGGGGCATGTAAGTTCACTTGAACCATATAACAGTTGTAAGTAAACACATTGGCCAAGTTTCTGAAAGAAACTAAATGCATCTTAAATCATACTGCATTTTTGAATTATATTATTGATTTTTGTATAAATGGATTAGAAAATTAAAAATAACATCTTGTCTATACTAGTCTTTTCTGGTCCCCTTAGCAAGTTGAAACTGTCACCATTTTCCCTCCACTCGTTTCTAGTCACTTTTTCTGCCAAATCATCTTAAAAACCATTTTTAAACAGATTACTGTTTTTCACAAATAACTGTTAATGTAGTTTTTACCAGTGCTCGCTTTATTACAGTATTTTAATTTTTTTAACACTATACTGTAATAAATGCTTAGTGTGTTACAAGGTTTATCATAGGCTTCACAAATCATTATTTTTATTGATGATGATGCTGCTGCTACTATTACTAATGCTGCTGCTACTACTACTACTAACTTCTACTACTATGAAATGTTTTATTTTTAAGAACTGTGCAGTTGTGTTTGGGTAATGCCAGATACTTTTTGTGCAAGAGTGATTCTGCCATTGTAGTAATAGTAGTAAATACAATACTATATTATTCTGAATGTAGGTAGCATATAGTTAGTCAAATACAATTTTAT